GGTAATCTGTGGTCAGAGCTGCACAACAACCAAACAAAAACAAACAAAACAGCAAACTTGAAACCTTAGGGACTTTGCCCCACCATAGAGATATCGGTACCCTAGGTCAGAATGTGGCTTTTAATGAAAGGGAAGCAACTAGAGAGGCAGTGAGGACAGTGTGTCTGCTCAGCGGAAAACTCTGAAAGGCTAAGGCAGCCTTGTTTGTTTTCAGGGGTCTAGTTTTAGTGCTACAGTCAATGCCTATCTGCCTTTTCTGTCTGTCCCACTAAAGTATGATTTAATTGAGTTTGAATAAAATGACCCTATACAAGTTTAATATCGGATCAGCAACTGTTGGGTTAAAAAAAAAAAGACACAGTATCTTAGCACCTAAGCCATCTCTGTCAAGGTCAATGTTGCCAGTAATGCACAGATAGGTGAAGGGAATGCGTCTCCATCGGGCAGGCAACACTACCTGCAGCTCGTGTTTCATGCAACAGAATTCTGAAAAAAGTAATTCTCCTGAGTATCCTATTTCCATTCAGTCATTCAATTTCAACATCTTAAAAATTTGAATAATGAAAATTGGAGACTGGTAACAGAATTTCTGTCTCCTGTGATCAGATTGTAAGGGCCAATGTATATTACCTTTGCTGTATTCTCTCCCTGTATGTCTATACAGTGAGTAAAATACATGCATGTACACACGAAGGAAAGGTTTATAATCTTTGTGAACAAGATGCCCCTTTATCCCAAATATGTCAGCATATCTAACTCCAAAGCTGGAGTTATCTTTTGTAACCACAGCATGTTTATCAGGGTCAGACAATTAGCACTGATAGAATACAATGACCTACTGAACAAACCTTATGTTTATTTTTATCTTTTATCAGAATAAGGCTCATCGTGGCAAATGAGAACCCAAGATAGTTCCTTGTATTGGATTGCCATGTGTCTTTAGTCTACGTGAAGCTGGATTTATTTTGTCTTTGAGTCTCATGTCAGTGAAAATTAAGCCTGCAGAATGATGATGTTGCACATTTTCCAGTAAACGGGCCCCTTCTCATGTTTCTCAGTGTTGAGATATAAGTTGTGCACTTTGGGAATGGTCAAGAAGGGATGCCAAGCTCTCTGCACTGTGCCCCATCTCAGGATGTGTCCTGTCTGTTCTTTTTACTACTGGTAACATTAAGGTTGACAATCTGTGTCAAATTGTACATGGCAAATCACCCATGTAACATAATACTTGTGTTTGTAATTAGCAGTACCTCATGGTAAGTGCTTTAGATCTATGTGTTCTTCAGAACTCCACACACGTCCCTCCAGGAGGTTTATATTATTTCTAAATCTCGGGTAGATCAAGAATTACTCTGGCTAATGGTTAAGTGATGGTTTCCTACCTTTATCCCTTAGTCTTTCCTAACTTTTCCTTCTTGTTCGTTAGTCTATATCAGTAGCTCCTATGCATTCTTATGTAGCTTGGTGTGTCCTTGTTCTATGTACTTTTACTTACCTTGAGTCTCAAAATGTTTCCGATTTGATCATTGGTAGCCCCTTCAAGCTGGCTTCTGTGTTCTTTTGAGCAAAGTTTTGAGAGTTTACAATCAGTCTGGTTGGACACTAAGAATACCATAATGAGCAAAACATTATTTTAAATCTCTAGCCTCATGGAGAGTAAGTATGTCTTAGCTCAGGGTGATACAAAAACAAATGAGCAAAAGGGACAGTCCACGAGAAGGCACTGAGCAAAAGGAAAGCTGCAGCCAGCCCTTGGGGTAGGGCATGTTCCAGTTCCCAGGGCATGGGGAAGGAGCACCTCATTGGTGGATGCCTTTTCCACAAAGACCTGAACGGGACAGGGAGTCCAGTGGCTTTCAGGAGGACATGTCTTTCAGGCAATGCCTAGCACTGCAGAGCAGCAAAAATAACCCCAATTCCTTGAGGTCAAAGCAAACTGGCATGTGACTGAGTTGAGAGTAGACTGGAAGGCAAAGACAGAGCAAGAAGACCAGCCTTGTGGCCAGAGTTCTTTAACTGCTGGTGATGACATTCCTGAGACTGTGAGCCTTTTATTAAAGCTTGTATTGATTGACACATTGATAAGTACCTAAATAAATGTGTTACCTCAGCTAACCAAGTTCCTCTAGAGATTAGACTTGGATCTAAAATTATCTTTACATAAAGATGATCTAAATTATATGCATATATGCTTGTGCCTATAAATGTACACTTGTGTATATATATAGATGGAGAACAATGTGCACGTTATGTAACAAAGGTCCCAGGCAGCAAGGTTTTTCAATCCGGAAAGCAGAATAGGGTGTGTGATGTGATGAACTAGTTCATATTATGGTTCTGAAGTCACGGCCGTTATTAGTTGCAGTTATTATTAGCTTACAGCAATTCTAGAAAAAAAAATGTGTTGCCTTTTCTCCTAGCAAGGACATGAGTCCTGCCTTGTCATACATTATATAATGTGAGAAAATGCAAATGCTATCCAAGCTTCCCTTCTACAGCATCCTCTCTGTCCACACTCAATTAAAGGCTTCTTTCCCTAATCCTGTCCTTAAATGTCCTGAATCATTATCTGTGACTCAACTCGGATCATACTCTCCATCTCCATCTTTCCTGGGGATATCACAAAAGCCAGAAATTTGGCCAGCAATCTCTTGATAGCAGTAGAGAAGAGACAGTCGGCTCACAGACCACAGGAGCAATGAGTCAGAGATTTAGGGCGGTTCATCTGCATCCCTTTGACTGACATTTCCGTGACCTTATACAACAATTGCATGCCTTCTCAGGTGTGCCGAGGGTTTTAATTAATATTTGTAAGTCTCCCTGATTGCCAAGGATAGACAGTGACAGAAAAGGGCAAATTATTATTACCGATGGAAAGAAAAAAGGAGAGATTAAGTTTTGTTCCACCACCAGGGAGATACCATTATCTACAGGCACTGTTTTCAGAGAAGGAGGATTACATATAAACTTTGATTTATTGGCTTTACACTTACGGTGGGGTCCAAGGCCTGTTAAATGCAAAGTCCCAGCACTCGAATGAATACTCAGCGTACTGTGGCTGCGAGTGCTGGTCCTGGTTCCATTAAGACTGAGAGGAGTCTTGCTATTCACAGTGAGTGTCCGGGTTCCTCTAATTAGCTGATTTCAGTTCATTTGGCATTAAATAATTCCCCCAGTTCCCATATGTTTGAACAATATGTTCAATGAGGGGGATGATTCTCTGAAAGCAATTAAATAGTTCTTTTAGGAGAGATTGCCGTCGGTCACTCAAAAGCATCCCTGCTTTTCCTGTCCATGATGAATGTAGACATTTATAAGAAAGTGCTTAACCCTCTCTAATAGCCATTGGCAGCCACTCACACACAGGGCACCACTGTGTGCTGAGAGCACACACTTGAGTTTCACATGTTTTTCAAGCCTTGAGTATATTGTTCTAGGCTTTCCAAAGCGTGTTCCTGCATTAGTGCAGCTTTGTAATCTCCCTTGCTGCTCCAATATAAAGGCAGGGGGTCTCTCGGCTTAACATATGCTCTATTTGTAGAGAAAGAGCTGTCCTATTTGGACATTTTGGAATAATAATCTTTTTTAAAGCATTATTAGGTCTTCTTAAGGAGGGAAGATGGCCAAATGATCATGTTCAGCTCTGTCTTGGGTACAGTGGATGTGGATGTAGGCAATCCTGCTCTGTTACGTGACCTGGGGTTAGTGCAACAGAAAACTGCAGGCAATGAGTCCAGGTGTGGCCGTGAAGAATTTGAGGCAGGTCAGCGAATGGGAACAAAAGGGATTTAGAAATTAAAAGCTTCTAGGTGATCTCCTAAAGAATGATTTGCCTCCACAAAACCATGAACCAATTTTATCTCTGAGAACCAAATTTTAACTCTACGCTTCCAGGGCTTTCTCTGGGGATCCAGGATGATACATTTAGACGTCTTTCTGAATGGAGAGAATAGAAGCATTGGTAGTACCTGTCTGGCCTATATCTCAACATGCATTGCTCACCTGTGAGTCCGCAATGATGTTATTGGCTCTATCATTATATTAGTTCTAAGTGAACACCCACAACACAAGTGAGAGAGTTGGGAGAAATGAAGTGGGCTTCCTGTTATGTTATTTTTGCTCTTTCTGGGGAGAACTGAGTAAAGCTGAGGGGTGGAGGAAGGCTAAAGGGCCCAGTATTCCATTCCCAATATGAGTGGTGTGAAGGGAACTAGGTAACGAAACAGAGGGAGTCAATGAGGTATGCCTCTTTACTTAACTTTCACATGGGTCTGTCTGTTCTCCACCAGCATTTTCATTGTAAGTAATTCACAACATAGGAACACCTGAACTCCAGATTTGGGTGTAACGACTTTAAATTAGGATTGAAAGTAGAGTTGAAAATTAGATATCGTGCACATGATTATATATACTTATAGCTTTCTACTGAGCGATCAGTGTGAAAATATAAAACTGGTATGTTTGTACATTGCAGAAATAAATGTTTGTAAACCAGAATCATCGTGTCTAATTTGTATATACTCAAGGTAGTGTTTTGATGCATAATAGCTTGTTTCCTCATTTATGAGCACTAAAATATTATTGAATATGTTATTTTGAGAAAGGGATCTGGTGATAAGACAACCAAGTAAGTAAGATCCCTACAATTCTTGGGATTTATCACCCTTAGGAATATGCTAATGAGAAGGATAATTGAGGAGTATGTTAATGAGAATGATAATTTGTTAGCTGGTATTGGCTCTGCAGATGCCTTTTAGGGGTCTTTGATCCCTTCCTTTATATGCAAAGGACTACTTGTCACTTTGTTGATTTGTTGAAGAAATCAGTTGAGACCTAACCATAAGTGAGTCTGGATGCCTGGGCAGTCTCAGGCTATTTCCTGTCCTCCTGGTCATTCTACAGAGGGATCTCACTCTGCTTGTAGAATCTCCCCATCTGTAACTGAGTTCTCATTCACAGTCCCTCATCTTTTACATGCTACCCTCTTCTTCTCTCTGAAGCCTGCAGTCAGATGGATCTGAGGTACTCCTGAGTCCTGAAGTCACCTGTGGGCCCCCGGATATGCTCGTCACAACTCCCTTCGCGCTGACCATCCCACACTGTGCAGACGTCAGTTCAGAGCACTGGAACATCCACTTGAAGAAGAGGACACAGCAGGGGAAGTGGGAGGTGAGATGCTGCGTGGGTTTTGTATTTTTTTTAATGGAATTTGGGTCCTATGGATGGTTTAGATTTTTTTTCTTCACCATTCTTATTACAATGGATCAGCTGTGAAATAGTGAACGTTTGATAGTTGCCAAGCAGTTGCAGTATGCAATTAATACAGTCCTCTAGGTGTTTGCTAGCTAGACTTTTCATGTAATAATGAAAAAGAGAGGCAAGCTGTAAGCCACGGTTATTGTTTGGTTTGAGAATTCAGGTGTAATTACCTGTAGAAATGCATACACTATGTACCTACTTGATGAGTTTCCAGACTTCCTCCTCGGCCGTGTCCTTTTTCTGAGATGACATTACTCTGTGCCAATAAGGATGTAGCTCAAAAAGACAAGCTAAGCTTTGAAGTATCTGGGAAAACACCAGGTGCCTAATATATGTTTATGGCATTAGCAAATACATAGAGGATGATTACTACTGATTGCCTGTGGAACTCAGTACATGTAAGGAGATATATTTCAATCTGAGAGAGACAAGGGAAAAAGAATGATAATACATCATAGGAGGCTCACAAAGAGACAGTCTCCGCCAAGGAAGATGGAAGTTGAATTACTACTTTAAGTTAAATCACCGATTTACCTGTCCGATAGGGAATTCTTTATGTCTATCTGAAGTCAGTTTGCATGAAACCAGGTGAAATCACAGTGACCTGCATTTGCCAGTCCTGGAATCTTGCCTCCCAGGAGGTACTTCAGGCAAAAGAAGTAAAAGAAAGTCATAGTTCTCTAGAGGAAAGCATACAGTTGCTGTAATAGATTACATATGCTGGACCCAGCTATGTCTTCAGATAGTCCATTTTCTGCATTCTATAATGTATTCTGCTATGCATTGAGTCCTGATGCTGCAGCTGAAGAACACTTGGGGCTCTACAGTTTGTAGAGGGGTCATGTTGTAGTCTCCTTCCCCCTGTGTTTTGTTTTGCCTTGATTTTTACCACTTTATTTCTCAGCATTTCCTCACAATCTTCTCCATCCAGATGGTGTTGTATTTATGCTCCACCAAACTGGTTACACATGCCTAAGTTCTTATCAGAGAGGGTGAAATATTCTAGTACATCTTATCCAAGTCATTTATTTAATGGTCCTCTGTGAATGATTGCAGGGAAATGAAAGAGGATAAAGTGTTGGCGTGAAAATAAACATCAACTTAAGGGTATTTTAGAAGGTTTTCAGAAATAGATCTTTGAAAAAAAAGTAATAATAATGTAAGTTTGCTTATTGAGGTTAAGGCTCAACTTTTTAAAAGCTGTTATTGAACAATTAACTAGAAATGGAAATTCCAAAGCAATGTTTTGTTATTGTTCCTATTAAAATGGACATGACACTGTACACAACCATTTCATGCATTCTTGCCTTTGGCAGTTATTTTAATAGAAAAACAACAATTTAACATTGATATTTAAGGCAATAAAATATTCGGGAAAAGCTTATTTATATCTCTAAACTGTTGGGTCCTGTGGTATTTCCAAACTGAAAAAATTCAACACATCTTTCTCTCTAACAGGAAGTGATGTCAGTGGAGGATGAATCGACATCCTGCTACTGCCTTTTGGATCCTTTTGCCTGCCATGTGCTACTTGATAGCTTTGGAACATACGCCCTCACAGGAGAGCCAATCACAGACTGTGCCGTAAAGCAGCTCAAGGTGGCCGTGTTTGGCTGCATGTCCTGTAACTCCTTGGATTACAACCTGAGAGTTTACTGTGTGGACAATACTCCTTGTGCATTTCAGGTCAGTTTTTTTTTTGTTACAGTTTTGTGTGTGTGTGCTTCGAGGATTATGACTGTCTGTATTAATTTCTCTTATGTTGCTGTGGTAAATTATCATGACCAAAAGCAACTTATCGTAAAGGGAGGATTTTTTTGGCTTATGGTTGCAAAGGGAGTCTGTGATGTTATAGCAGCAGAAGCAGGAAGCCGGCTGATTGTATTTCCATCTTCATCCAGGGAGAAGAAAGTGGGAGTGAGAAATGAGGCAAGGCTATCAGCCCCCAAAGCCTGCTCTTAGTGGTATAGCTGTTTTAGCAAACCCAACTTTGGCTCCATATCTTCCCCAAACAGTGCCGCCAACTAGGGAAAAGTGTTCCAGTACATGAGCCTATGGGGGACATTTGTCATTCAAGCCATACCAGCTTCCTAAACACCACTAGAGGGTTCTTCAGTGAAAACTTGGGAGAAAACCCACACATTTTGAATAAGAGCTATGTTACTGTGTGCCCTATGCAGAGATGAGACAATTGGCCCTCAAGGAGGGGCACAGATTAAATTCATGAACACTGAAAATACTGTCTACTAAATTATGAAACTATCTAAAAGTACAATCATAATACTTGAAAAGCATAAATGTGATACAAATGTTGGAGAAGACTTTTTGAGACCATTTTGCAAATCTTTATGGATAATCTTTAAGAGCAAAAGACAGAGATGCCTGGTCAAGAAAGGATAGGGCACAAAGCACAGAACAGAGAATTGGTTGGTATGGGAAAAGCAGTAAGAAAATTGCCTGAGTATACTGAAGGATGGAAAGGAAACAACAATGATGAATCATGCCTATCTATCACCAGGCAGTTATAGACTACCCTGGACACAGTCTAATAATGGGCTATTAGGGCAGAGGTAGTTCAATGTCCTTTTCCATTTTTGGTGCTTTTAATCATGTAAGAATCATCTTAAATTAGATACTCCTGAAGAGTGTGGTTTATTAATAGCAGCAAGGATAATGCAGAACATTCTGAGGAAGCTTTGTTCATATATAAATAGCGTAGCTCTTCTAACACACCTCGGTCCAGATCCCAACGATTCCAGTCCTGGATCGGGTCATTAAGTCCATTATGCAGAGTGTTTTCTCAGTAACTAGGTTCTAAGACACTGAGCTGGAAAACTCGTGTTTACCAATAGAGGAGATGCAGGGACCTGAATCCTGAACATAAGCCAGGAGCTGACACCATGACAAACTGCATCCCCAGACCTTCTTCTCTGTCTTGTAAGGAACGCAAGTCATTGTGAAGGTCGGGCTTAATTTTAGCTCCCCAAAGGGGCTTTTGTTTTAATATGTGTGGAATTTTGTGTCGAGTTCCAGTGAAGCATTAATACACATCCTATAATTGTTATTTTATATTCTTCAATTACCCTCCCTCCCGTCCCTCAAAGGAGAATGATTTATAAGAGAAAATATATTTGGGGTTCAAAAACAAAGAATGGATGACTAAATAGAGAAGTGCACGTGGGGATTGCTACACAACGCTAAACAGTTGTCTAAATGCACAAGTAATTCCAACTAGATGATGTTCAGCAACTCATCTAGGTGCTAAAGACGAAGCTCCAGTCTCTTGTGGATAATCTACTGTGGATTGCCTTCATTCATTGCCACCAAAGTCAGTGCTCAACCAGCTTGGACATTCCGTGGAAGGGTAGTCTCACTGCTTATGTATGCACTAGTAAGGCAGACATATTCCTAGAGAGATGTATTTTGTTCATATATAAATAGCATAGCTCTTCTAACACACCTCGGTCCAGATCCCAACGATTCCAGTCCTGGTTCGGGTCATTAAGTCGGGATAAAAAAGTATTATCCCGAATACTTTTTAATAGTCTGTTTTCATTCACTTTGATGCAGCCAAATTTTACAGCAACTCAACTGTGCATTGCAAAGGAAGTCCTACAAACATCCTAAGCAAGCCCAGCTTGTACTTGACTATCTATTCCTGCTGGTCAGCCTCCCTTCTTAGTGCTAGGGAAATTGCTCTTCTCTCCCTGTGGAATCCAGGCATCCTCTTTGAATGATTCAGGCATATGCCGATGTCACTAAAACTTTAGTGTCGCTTGCGAGATATGCTTTTCAGTAGATATACCTTTGAGCCTCGCTCATTAAATCTTTTTACCCTAGTGGTCCTTCATCCCTCTAACTACCTGAGATAAAGAAGGTTTACAAGTAGTAGTTGGTGGCACTTGTTATTAGAAGGTGTTTGTGATAGCTGTCATGAGCAGCAGAGGCCACCTGTCCCTTCTGGGTTTCTGAAAAAACCTCAACCTGGGATACATAACTGTTTTTAATCGAGGAGCGATTAAAACATAACTTTAAGCCTATCTGAAGAGACTTCTTCATCCAGAATATACCATCTAGTTTTGTCTTTTCTTTTCTTTCTTTTCTTCCTTCCCTCCCTCCCTCCCTCTTTTCTTCCTTTCTGTCTTTTTCGGTTATTTACTCATGTTCTGTATTTTTACCTTGCTACATAATGTGTTCAGAACTTTCCATATAGAATCATTGCTATCACTTTAATATCTAAAATCATCTGGGTTGTATTTTTCTGGTTCTATATGTGATACTCATTAATACTTACTAAGCCATTAAAACTGTTCCATTTTAAGAAAGCTTCAACAATTCACTGTTTGAGCCTCTAAAACACTTCATGGCTATTATCAGCTAAAGTAGTATGAGCTAAAAATACTGTGTACATTGTTGGCTTTCTTTCTGTCACCCTCACAGTAATCCCTCCACATACACAGAAAAATACTTCATTTGTACCATGTCCAAGACTATTAATAAGCCAGGAAAGTAAAAATAAAATAATAACATTCTGGATTTTGCTAATTACCAGTTTAGTTCCTGACTTTAAGTATGTAGTAAAAGCTGTTATATAAATATATACAGTGCTGGAAAATATTCACATATTCATGTATTCATGATAATAGACATTATCCGTTAGTAACACATTTATGATTTTCATTGCATATATTCATTGTACATAGAACTGCTTAACACGAGGGCATGTTCATACAAGTATATAGTGTGTATTGAATACATCATGAATCCACAGAGTCCCCTGATCTTCCCAATCTCACAACTCCACCTACTTCTATTAGACCCTCAGTTTATTTTCTGTAGCTGTGATAAAAATACCCCCAACAAAAGCAATTTAGAACCCACAAATGAAACAGAATACTGTACTTGTCTTTCTGAGAGTGTTTTAATTCACTTAAAATATTTTCCAGTTTTATCTTTTTTTTGTAAACAATATCACTTTGTTCCTTACAGCTAAAAAAGGGTTCATTGTGTATGCATACAATTTTTTTCATCATTCCTCTGTATTGGACACTTAAGTTGCTCCTGTAGTTCAATATTGTGAATAGTGCTGCAGCAAACATTGATGTATAGGTATCAATGGGATAGGTTGACTCAGAACCCATTGAGTAAATACCCAAAAGTAGCACAGGTGGGTCGTATGACAGATCTACTGTTAGGTATTTTTGAGAAATCTCTATACTGATTCTGACTGTGGCTGGACTTGTTTCCATTCCTATCAACAGAATGTAAGATTTCTCTTTGTCCACACATTTGCGGAATTCTTGTTGTTTATTTTCTTAATGACTGTCATTCTGTCTGGTGTGATATGGGAACTCAACCTGTTTTTAACTTTCCTTTCTAGATGGCTAGTGAGGTTGAACTTGTTGTGATGTTTATGGGCTATTTCGACTTCCTTTTTTAAGAAGAATTTGTTCAGTTCTTTAGCCCATTTATTGACTGATTGTTTGATTTTTTTTCTCCTTGCTTAAATTTTTTTCTTTTGAGTTTTTTGACTAGATATTAATCTTCTGTCAAACATATAACTGGTAAAGATTTTCTCACATTCTGTAGACTGTCTCTTCATCCAATGAACTCTTCCCTTCAACCGTGCAGAAGGCTTTTATTTCCATGATACCACAGCTGGCAATTGTTAGCATTGCTTCCTGAGTGGCTAGAGTCCTGTTCAGGAAATCTTTGCTTATCTCTGTGTTCTAAAGTGTTTTCTTTACTTTTCCTTGTAACAGTTTCTAAGTTTCAAGTCTTAGTCTTTAATCCATTTGTAGTTGGTATTTCATCACATTGTTTATTTAGTAGCAGTGATGGTGGGGATTAGGTTGACTTTGCCATCTGCGTGCCACAGTACGCGTGTGGACGTCAAAGGACTTGTTGTGGCAGTTGGTTCTTTTCTTCCACCATATGGGTCCTGAGGATCAAATTCACATCATCAGGCTTGATAGCAAACACCTTTACTCATTAGGCCTACCTGCCCATCCTAAGGCTGTTTATTTCACAGGGTAAGGAATAGGGATAGTTTCACTCTTCATGTGACTATCTGAGTTTATCAACAACAGTGGTTGAAAGGCTGTCTTTTCTCCAATGTATATTTTTGGCACTTTTAATAGAGTTTATGTTTATCAAAATTAGTATAGATTTTTTTTCAAGGAGCATTTTGGCAGATATTGCCCATCTTAGAATTTTCTTCAGCTATCACTATAATGAAATGTTTACCATAGTTAGGACATGCTTGTGACAACTGTTATATTTATTGTATCTCAAAGAAACGATAACAAATATGTGCTCGGCTAGAGCTTGGCTCTCTACCAAGAAGGAAGGCTGCTGCTAGGGCATGGTTAGGTGTCTTCTTTCTCATTCATATCTCGCTGGGAAGTAATGTCCCATAAAACACTAAATGCTAGAAAACTTTGCAAGAAGATGAGCCTCCAGACCAACTCTTCCTGTCTGATAATACCTGATTATGGCCATGCCGTTCAATCGTTCCATCAAAGAATATTCCACTTGAGGAAGTCGAGTAAACAGACACTGTCCCCACCTGTCGGCCTTCCTTCATCCTGATTGCAGGGCTGCACCAGGTGGGAACAGTAATGTCTTCAAATAACCCAAACAAAACAGTCCTCTCGCTGCCTAAGATGTATGTTTAATGTAGGCTTAAATGCTTTAAGATCTGTTCTAATAAAGACATCCACAACGGACTTCATAGAGCGTTAGATCAGCTCAGGTTTGCTGCTAACCAATAGAAAATGTCAGTTGCCTAGAGGTGAGAAAGGGATGAGCTGAGAAAGGCCACAGGGGGGTCTATCCTCTCCAGGCCTCCTTTGCAATGGCAGAACCAGCCATTTTGTGCTTCCTTGCTGAGGCTCTGGCTCAAGACTGAGGATTCAAGATACATTTTCAAGGCAGTAACCTTTTAAGACTTGATTTTGTTATTGTATTTTATGACACAGTGACATACACAACATGCACACACACATACACGGTCATAATTTTAACATGAGGAAAGCAAAGAATTAAGATCTCATATCTTCATTTTAGGATGTAAAGAATAAAAAATAAAACAACTCATTTTTCCCCTTCATGGCACACGGCACTTCTATCCAGTACCTCTCGGTACTCATTACTTATTTGGCATTAATGTGGATTTAGAACCTAATTTCAAAGGATTTCCTCCAGATGTAGTTCTTATGTTTATCAATAATGCAACCTGGGGAAATATTGTTCATGTAAAGCATTTAAAAGAAACCACCCCAGGAACACAATGTGTATATATATATGTGTGTATGTGTGTGTAAGTTCAAATAGTTTTGTCTCATAAATATGTAAATTCAGCCTGCCTCTGTTAGCATCCCTGAAGCATACCTGAATATTGCTGGCTGTCTCATTAAATCAACATAAAGAGCTCAGTGAGCCACAATGTGCAGGTTTCTCCTGGCTGCAGCTTTAAGAGCTGCAAGGTTTGCAGGCCTGAGTATGAAATGAAGAAGTTGAAGGCCCAGTAAAACCATTGACCAGAGCACTTCCGGTACATTTTATATACATACAACCAGGCCTCCTTGTTTCAGTAACAGAATTGTTTCAACAGGAGGGGAGATTTAACAGGAAGCAACTGGGAGTGACTGGGAGGCCACATTGTCCATGTAGACAATCCGAAATGAGTTCAGCAGAGGTGTGTGCATGACTGCTTCACCAATCCAGATGTACTTGGTTTCAGTGATTTACGTTTATAATACCATCATCACTCTATAGGCTGAGACAGGAGAAATCCTTAGTTCAAAGTCATCCTGGGCTAAATATCAAAACCATATCAAAAAATGAACAAACTGCAACAGCAAAACCCCACAGCTGTTGAGCTCTTAAGAATATCATAGTGCACTCCACCCAGGATTGCAATTCTCTAACAAGGTCAAAATCTCCTATTGTAAAGTTCTTTGTACTTGGGAGTTTATTTCTTTGACTCTATGGCCAGCTATACATTTTTGAATATGAAATATTGTGATTAGCTCATGATTGGGTCTTTTCATTTAATAATTACCTTGGTTCAGAATTGACATAACTGTTTAATATTGTGCAGAAGACTAGGCAATAATGTTAAAATCACATAGCTGGTTTTTGTAAATCAATAAGCTAAAAGACAAAACATAATTGCACATATATGTGTGTGTGTGTGTGTGTATTTACATTCATTAAAAATCGAGTGTGGCAGTCACAACTGCCACATTTCAAGTGGTTCGTGGTTCGTGGTTGGAATACTGTGTTGGACAGTAAAGAAGGAGAACATCATGTTCGTAGCAAGTGTACCTGCCACTGGTGTATAAGCCCCAAGAACGCTCTTCCCTCAAGCAGGAGCTGCAGAGCATGCCATACTATAGGAGCAACCTCTCCACAACCTACTTGCTCTAGTTTGTTTTCTATTTCTCTGATGAAAAACAACATCATAACCAAAAGCTATTCAGAGAGAAAAGGGCTGGGTTGGAAAGATGGTTCAGCAGTTAAGAGCACTGCCTGTTCTTCCAAAGGTTCTGAGTTCAATTCCCAGCAACCACATGGTGACTCACAACCATCTGTAATGAGATCTGATACCCATTTGAGGAAAAGACCTGGTCAGTCATCTTCATCAACTTAACCATGAACAGGCTGCCCATTTCAGTATTGCGAGGGCATAAATTTCATTACTTTTTTTCAATTGTCTCAGTGACAGTCAATCATGAACAGAAGTCAATGAGCTTAAGCAGGAGTCTGGAGTCAGAAACTGAAGTTGAGTCTTCAAAGGAATGGTGCTTACTGACCTGGTCCCCATGAATAGCTTAGTTTTCTTTTTTATGTACCCCAGGACCACATACCCAGCGACAGTATTGCCCACAGTGTAACGGACACTTCCACATCAATCATTAATTAAGAAAATGTCCAACAATCTTCCCTACCCGTTGATGTGATTAGGTAACTTTCTCAACTGAGGGTCCCTCTTCCAGGTGACCCTAGCTTATGCCAAACTGACAAAAATAATAGCCAGCAAACTACTTAGAAACATTTTTATAATTGTCATTCTATAGTTAGGTGTGCAGATCACATGTATAACCACATTGGAGATTGAGGCAGGAGAATTATGAATTCAGGTAAGCCTGTACAACTTAGCAATACCCTGTTTCAAAATAAAACATTTTTTAAAGACAAGGATGTAAGTCTGTATTAGAATCTTTGCCTAATATGTGAACTTCTGGTACCTCAAATTCCTGGAACCTTCAAAACCTTAAGGCAGAAGATAGACACACCATGGGGCTGCTTTTAGCCTCTAATAACTGAAAGGCAAGTTGTGCTTATCCATCAGCTTGCTTCTCTTCTTCCAACTGATTGTAGCATCTTGGACACTATAATGCACAAAGGCTGTGTGGCCTGGCATTTCTCCGAGCTCTACAAGGAGACTGTAAGTCAAGGGTGATTTACAGATGGACCTAGGGAGGGCTCTCATCTCTACACTGAAAGCCTGACTTCTGCAGTAATTTAATATTTTTCAGGATACATATTTATCTAGCTGTTCCGCTTGCCCTATCAATGTAATTCCGGTCACAACAAATTCAGAAGCAATTAAGTGTTTGCTCAGTAGAACCTGTGTGGGCTTTGTTTGTCATGAGTGTAATTATAGCGATCTCTCAGTGAAACATACAGGAGTGTTTACCTTGGAAATTTGATTTCTTGTTGCCGAAGTCAGGCTAACTTGATAAAGAACTTGTTTTGTTTCGTTTTACTTTTTTTTCTGGCCTTTTGGCTTAAAAACTCTTATGAACGCTGCTACAAATAAACACATACTCTACAGTATTTATTTTGAGCCAAAAATGAATGTTAGGTAATGCCTGTCTTAGTGGAGAATTGCGGCAGAACAGAGCGCACTTTGTCTGCCTGTATTGCGAAAGTGCATCCCTGGGTGTGCTGCTGCTGCCTGGCTCATGTCACATTCAAATGAAATCCATATACTCCTAGGAACTCAGTGGTATTGGAATCAGTGCGGGGGCAGAGAGCTTTAGTTTAAGGAAAGTTCCCGTTAGTTTAAAAGCGGTCAGAAGGAATACCATAAAGAAAAGAAATACCACCTGCTGGTTCAAGTGGATGAACCCTGCTACACACTGCTGGAGGAAACGTAAGTTAATACAGCCATTATGAAAATCAGTATGGAGGTTCCTCAAAAAATTAAAAATACACTGTATGATTCAAGAGCAGCACTCATGAAGAAATCGAAGCCAGCATAACACAAAGATCCCTACATGGCCTTGTTCAGTGCAAACACGGTTCACAATAACCAACTTAGAGAATCAGCCTAGACAATCAGTGGCTGAATAGATGAAGCAAATGTGGCATATATACACAGAGGAGGTGTATTCAGCCCTAATGATTAATGAAATTTCATTTACAAGAAATGGATGAAACTAATGAGTATCCCGTTAGTGAAATAATACATCTGAAAAAACATGGGTTCTCACACAATTTCTAGATTTTAAAAAATAAGTTATAAGAGTAGCAAAAGGGCCTATGTGGGAAGAGGGGACCTTTGAAGGGGGGGGGGGAAGCAGGGGAATGGGGTTGTTGTGATTAAAGTTGAGGGTGTACATGTAGAAAATGTCCTGATGAGGCCCATTATTTAAAAACAACAACAACTCAACAAGGACCAGCAAGATGGCTCAGCAGGTAGAGGCACTTGCCACCAAGCCTGATGACCTGAGTTCAGTCTCAGGAACTCACAGGATGAAATAATAGAAATGATTCTTGCAAATTGCACCTCCCCACATGCATACCCACACCACGGAAAATAAATAAATCTAAACAGGTGTGCATAACCTAAGCAAAAAAAGAACGGTTGACTCTTGATGACCAAATGCCTATTTTCGAGCAGCTTCCAAACCCAAGTGTGGGGTTCTCTCTGGCAATGGAAGTGCGTTCGTCACAAGTGCGCTCAGTAGTGTAGAAGAAGCCGTATGCTTCAGCGTGGTTCTTCCTTTTCTTTCCTGCTCCCACAGGAAGTGGTTTCCGATGAAAGGCACCAAGGCGGCCAGCTCCTGGAAGAACCCAAGCTGCTGCACTTCAAAGGGAATACCTTCAGTCTGCAGATCTCCGTCCTTGACATCCCTCCTTTCCTCTGGAGGATCAAGCCATTCACTGCATGCCAGGTACCCGCCAGGGGACCTTCTTACAGCCGCAGCTTGGCTGTGACCAGTACACCTGGGAGAGGCCTTCCTCTACGGATCGCACCTCCAAACTCTGAGCCATATAACGGTTTGAGTGGAAGGTACTGACCTAAATTCACAGGTGCCTTGCAAGTGGGAGAAAAAGTTCCTGCCTCTCAGGTTATGCGCTGCTTCCTTCCTCCGTTTGAATTGCTCAGTATAGGTCTAAGATGGAAAAAATCGAACCGCTTAAGAATAAGGATTGTGTGTTGTTTTTATTAAAATCAATCATTGTGAGACCTTGTCTTAATCACATTCAGCAGCGAAAAAGCATAATGTCTCAGGGTGATGATTTTGAGTGATAGCTGTGGCTGAGAACAAAGATGTTCCCCTTCATATGTGAAGTGCTTGCTGCCAAATGCAATGAGAAAGATGAGAAAAGCAAAGGCGAGAGGGAGTCTCCCTGGAGTTCCCCTCTCTCTCTCTCTCTCTCTCTCTCTCTCTCTCTCTCTCTCTCTCAATAAAGATATTTTTAACATCTCAGGGTGATTCAGTTATGCTTATCATAAGAAGATGCATGCAAAGTTTATGATCCTGACATTGGAGTCTGAGACATCTCTTCATTGTCATAAGCAGGTCAAATGACAGGACGTTTTCTAAACCCTGGAATAGTTTCTGCAAGATCCATGCTTATCTGCAGTTACAGGACATTTTCAAGCCCGTATTTCAACATGGGTGCAGAGGCATGTGGGGATTTTTAACCTTTCTATTCTTGTAGTACACACACTCATACACACCCACTCATACTTCACACGTACACACTCACTCAAACACACTTATTACACTGATAAATAGTTATTGAGAATGGGAACCAACCAGATAGCAAAGAGAAAACACAGACATGACAGAGAAAGCTGGGCCACCAATATTTCCAACTTGTAAAATGCAGAAATCCAAAATTGGATATGTCTCCGTTTTCCCATTGAAGTCTCATGAGTCTTACTTTTGGGAGCCACTCCTCCCTATACAGTTTTAATACATTCAAACATCCAAGGTAACAGGAACATCTCCCCAGGCCCCAATATTCCCCCCTCTGATTTGGCACAGTCTACAGATTTCCTGATAGAAGATTCTTGAATCAACATAGTGCCGGTGATATTCAAGACCTAAATGTCTTTTCCTTCCAGGAGGCAGATTCAAAGTTTCTTTTCCAGATTGAGTTTCAGAGTATTGTTAAGGCGAATCTTTCTAGCCATGTATATATATTAATCTTTATAGGTTGTCAGGGCCTCTTTGCACTATGTCTGTTACAAGTCACTAAGTCCCAAGTCTCTATTACATTTAAGGCTTAAATACTAGGGGAAAAAGAAAGATGAATGAAAAGGCCATCCACTTATAGGCTCTTCAACAATAATTCCAGAACTAGGGACATAGAAGGAATACCCTGAAGAGAACAGGACTAGGGATAAGGGTGAGGGGGTGGAGGTTGGGAGGTGGGACAGGTACCTGCAGACCTCCCAGAATGCAACAGCACTGACCAGAGCCAAAGGGCACTGGAATGCAAGGAATCCAATGCACGTTACTACTAGTGTGGATTGGAATCCATGAAGGTGGTGAACATGTATAAATATTTGCCTTCTGTAATTGAGCCTAGTATAAAGAAGGTCTTGGAAGGCTGAGAAACAGTTTCATTTTCCCAATGACTGGAGACTTCCCACCAAGTCTTCATTTCTACTTCATTTTTCTAACCCCAAATTACTTTCCATTCCTCTCTTCCTTTCTATCTATTACCCTTACCCACTAATCTCTGCCTGTGCCATTACTAAGTCCCTCAGATTGTATGAGTGAGTATTATGCCGGGCTTAATGGCTAAGCTGTATTTGTTCCAGACATTATTAGATCAAAGCACTTTGGGTTGGATTTGTGGTCAGCCTACTTGGACCTGATGTGGATCGTTGTGTGTACTGACAAACTTGGTATACATAACAAAGAAAGGGTATTCAGTAGGGATTAGTGGTTAGGAAATAGTGGGACACCCCCGCCCTTATTTCTCTCTCGGGTTATCTCAGAGAGATGTTGTAAAAACAGAAAATCATGCTAGTCCTGAGATGTGGTCTCTTCGTCAACCACTACGTCTCCCTGTCATCTTCCAGCCCAAAGCATGGGAAGCTGGAGGTGCTATTACTATCTTTTTCTGACTGCAAATTGACAGTCTTGGAATTGATATATTACAATTGGCACACATTCCAAGATGGTATCCTGTATTTTTTTTTTCTGGGAGATGGAATTTCCAAGGAAATACAAGCCTAAGAGAGGGGTTCAAAAAATATCTGCCTGTCAAGATAGCAAGAGCTGCATGACAGGTTGTTTTGAAACAGCATGAGTTAGGTCTGTGTCCTGAGCTCTAAGGCGATGAGGCCTGTGTTTAGGAGGATCACTTTGATTTCCTACCAGGTACTGGAGCGATCCATCATGCAGAATGTCACACAACTTCTGTGTGAGGGGAGGAAGGGGCCGTCAGCAGCACCCACTGACCTTGGTTTAAAGAAAAACCTCTATTCATAATGCTAGCATCCCCAAATGACACATTCTTTCATGCTTCCTTCCCAAGATTCAAGATGACCATAATTGAGAATCCACTGCAGCTGCCATCTACCCCCATCTTGCCCTACTTTGGAGATAACTAAATAGCCCTGTTCTCAATAGGTCGTGGGACCTGATGCTTCTTTACTCTAATTTCCTTTTGTCTTTACTGACTCTGTATTGAAAAACTTTGATAAGCTTTATGGTGGCATTTATTTATTCATTTAGAACTGATAAAGCCCAAAGTCAGGTTGTCATGTCCCTGAGATAAAAACAGCTGTCTTTGCAACATGCTATGAGTCTTCCAAAAGTCAGTGTCTATCTCCTTCTAGGATATGATTTGCATTCTCTCCATCTGCTAGGAACGTAATTATAATGGGGACCAGAATGAAAACATTTCTGGGATTCTTTAACTGCACATAACTTTGCTATACTTTGTCCTCTGCACAATTTCTCTTAGCTCAGTGAGCATTGGGGGACAGGGTGGGTTTTTCTCCCCCTCCCCTCTGCTTTCTTTTTTGGGATAAATGAAAGCAAAAACAATTGCCTTGAAAACACACTAATCGCCTGGCTTCCAGTTCTATCATTTTTAAATGTTTTGTTGAACACTATTGGCAACTGCTATTCAAGTCAACAATGAAAAACTATCCCTTCGGTAGTGTCTTAAAAGCAGATTTCAGAGTGTTTTGATTGTGTACAGTGGCGCAGAGAGATAGGAGAGAAGATAGTCTTATGCCAAGTCTCATGTCTTTCTACAAGGAAAGACTATCTGCAGAGGGTATTAATCTCCTATGTTCCAATGTTTGGGGGAAAAATACAGGAAACTTAGCAAGTGATATGACAGAAGGCACTTGCAAAGAAGTAGTCAGGACCATTGTGAAAGAAAATGTGAGCAGTACCAAGGATCCCAATACATAGAAGAAAATGTAGATTTTCTTGAGGGAAAGGTTTTGAACTGGGCTCGGTCTAGCCCTGAAAGCCAAGTGCTTACATTGTGCTGTACTGACTGGATGTAATTTGTCCTAGCAAAGAAATCCTACTGGTTGATCTGACAGCTCTGTGTTGTAGTTGGGTTTTCTGAAGGAGACTTACAAAGTGACTCTGCAAAACCAGCTTGTGAAGAGGAGATTTCATTTGAGAGATTATTAGACAGAGAACGTAGAGAGTAGGGGCAGGTCATGAAATGGTTGACGCCTGAGAAGGCCAAGCAGGAGGCTGGATTTATAATGTGAGGCACTGAGGTCTTCTGTGAGCTATCAGGCAAAGGAATCATGGGGTAAAGGCCAAGTTGCTAGGTAACGGTCATATCAGTGTCTCTCATGGCTAGAGGTGATAGACCGTGATGCTGTTCCTGATGGATGCCAATCAGCTGACTTCCCCTTAAGTCTCCTGTGAGTCCCCACACCCTGCCAAGCTTGTCTAGCAGGGACTAGAGACAGAAGCGTGTGAGACAGGATTCATTCAGATCCAGTGAGGTGTAAGGGGGTTAGGAAAGTTTGCTAAATGACCATGAAAGAAAGATGGTTAAAAAATCAAAAAGCCTAAGAAGTAAATGGCAAATAGCATTTGTAGAGTGCCTCTGGACTCCATGCCAGAGACTGATGCTGTGATAAATGCCAGGACACAGTTATTAGAGCCTTGCGAAGGGAGATGACAGTTGGTCTTGTGCAAGCAGATGGGACCGAGTTCAGTGGGCAGAGGGAGATGTGTAGGAGGCTGGAGCAGTAAGTAGGAGTAACCCATGGATTGCAGAATGGGAGAAGGCTCAGGAGAAGGGGTTGTGAATGCTGCAAAGCACAGTCATCCTTCAGGCCTCCTCTGCTCTCTCTGTACATCTTCGGAGGAAAGTCTACTGACTTTTCTTTGACTCAGGATTAAGAGCAAGCACAAGAAAAGTCCTACACAGTTGTTATGTTCTTGCTAAGATGGATGGTAATTGTGAACGCTTCATTTTTTTCTCTCTTCTCCAAAGCTTGCCGATGTATCCTATTTAAGCATAGCACAATCTAAAAATTTTAAAATCCATTTATCACTGATGCATTCTCCAGGAAGGATCTTTTGCTAAAATCCCTTCCCAAAGGGAGACATAAGCAACATCTCCTGTTTCTAAAGTCCCAATGACAGGCAGAGGCACTGTTCCACCAAAGTTCACTTTTTGGGACCAATGAGTATTTATTGGGTTTCATTATAGAACACAGGTTAGATGTTTCTTATGGGGTCTGTGGTGCTCCACACCCCAACAGGTGTGCACCTAAAAATCCCTAACCCAACAATTATGAGGGCTTGTCCATAGCTTAATTGATGGAGCCTCCCTGACCTCTAGTCTCCCTTGGCCTATATGTATGCTTGCTCCTCCCTGAGGCCACAGGCATCTAAGGCAGAGCTGTAGACAACTATGGCAGGAAGCCATTGGATATGTAGGTGAGGCTTCACCTGAGACTTCTATCCACAATGAGGGGATGAAAACAGTCAACAAGCCCACCTGGGACAAACCATCTGCAGAGCTAAACATCACATTACTATCCAAAATTTAGATTTATATCTGTATCGCTTTTAGAGAAAATGGGGAAGCAGATTATACAAATAAATGTGAACACTAGAGCTCAGGAATAAACACTTTCTCGAAGTGAATAATTACAACAGTGGCCATGGTCTTCTAACACATTACAGGCCTATCAGCAGCCACACTTCAGAGTTTCCAGCTTCCGGTCCTCGTACATCTCTTGCCACCTTTCAGCTGCAGCATTGCAGAAAATTATATTTTTAGCAATGAAGAGCAAATTAATGAGGTGATAAACAGAGGAAATAAAAGTGATGATGAGGGCTCTTAGAAGCTGGGATCCCATGGCCAAGTCCCCGGCCACATTTCACTAGGAAGGAGATACTTTTTAACACATAAAAACAAAAAATGACAACAAAACAAAGTAAAAGCAAAATGCCTTTGTTAGCATACTCCAGGCAGTATTAAGGAAAAGGGACAATTTCCTTTCTAGTTTAGTAAAACCTACATTTGCCATGGAGTTATATCAGTCACTGAGCATATGACAAAACCTAAATTGTTATTATTTCTCATTTATGTTGTACAGGACCAAGTCATAGGTGATTAGATAGTTATACCACTATGGGTTCCAAGCATGTCTGTGTCCCTTTCTGGGTTGTGTACAGTTGTATCAGATACATTGACAGTATTTATCCCTATACAAGTCGTAAGCCTACATGAGTCTGTGGTATGGGCAATTAGTTCTAGCCAGTCAATTTCTCAGTATAATTCTCACTTAAATGAGAAAATTGCATTCTATTCCTGGCTTATATAGAAGGATGAAGCATAAGAATCCTTCTAAAGAAGATAAATTTTAGTGAGAAAAGGTTAAATTTTAGCAGTATCCATTCTAATTGTGTGTGTGTATGTGTTTGTGTGTAGGAGTGAAATCTGAGCTCTTGCAGCATGGCTTAGGAATTCAAATGTTATCAATTGGAATTGACATTAATTACTTCTGTGCTGCCTGGCATCTGTTGAAATATTATTTCTATAATTCCACCAAAGTCACTTAGGCAATTATCTGTGCTATGATCACCATCATCATCATAATTGTTGTGACTAAGTCTCTCCCGTTCTGGTTCCTTGAAGCAGGGCTCTGCTCTTCATCCTCTCTCCTGTCCACCCTTCCCCACTGCAGGAGGTCCCCTTCTCCCGAGTGTGGAGCAGCAACCGGCAGCCCTTGCACTGTGCCTTCTCCCTAGAGCGCTACACACCCACCACCACCCAGCTGTCCTGCAAAATCTGCATCCGGCAGCTCAAAGGCCATGAACAGATCCTCCAAGTGCAGACATCCATTCTAGAGGTAAGTCTGGGATGTGGGTCCCTTGAGTCCCTTCCTAAGGGACAGTAGGAATAAAGAACGCATATATGTCATGGCTGTGCTATTGTTAGAAACTTCAAAATGTAGGCTCTTGACTCTCATTTCCAACGAGGAAAACCACACTTTCTCAGGCTCAGAATTGAACTGAGCATCGCACTGAACAGGGAACCTCAACCTTCCTGAGATCCTAATCAAGGCTCTGTAGAGAGACCTTTAGGGAAGGAGTGAGTACAGGGATTCTTGTACAACAAACAGTTTCCTAATTCATAGCAGACCTGGGATACTTGCTGACATGTGACCATGGTGGAGCAACATAATAGCTGAGAATCAGGTGGTCACTGGGCTATTGTTCACCTGATTCTTAATAATGCTTTAGAAGATGGTTGCCATCTGTACTTAATCTTTGGAGCCCCTCACCACCAGGTCCCTTTCTCACATCTGTGTCCTTTTGTTTGTTTTATGAACCACTGATTTTAACATGTAAATTTGTCAGCATAAAAACTCAGTTTCAAGTTCTCTCCCCTCGAATGTGTATAACTGTAATGCATTATCACTTCTTTGCATTTTGATTTCAACTCATTATTTATGCAAAGTGAGTATTGCTAATTCCCCAAATAGTTTTTCTGAGGCCTGGATAGCTTTCCCAAGGATCGTGTCTTACAATTGATAGCTGTCTTAACTGATGTGTATGTGCGCTATTTGCATTCATTATTGCCAATTAGCATTTAGTACTAAAGCAGCTTTGATGGGGAAAGTACATCCAGAAATCTGGGCAGGGTATTTTTAGAAACTCTTTCATGAACAGTCCTGGCATATTTAATGCAATACATTTCCAAGATAAAATACAAACAAATGCTATAGGAAATTTTTTTTTCTTAGATTGTAACCTCTTTTAGTAATAGTTCATCCTGAAGTTCGATGACTTATTTTATTTCTAGTTTTTTTTTAATTGGTTAAATTTGCTGACAGCTGCAAACATGTATATAATGCACTGGTTCTCAACTTTCCTAATGCTGAGACCCTTTAATACAGTGTCTCATGTAATGGGGACCCCTCAGCCATAAAATTAATTCCTTGCTACTTCCTAACTATGATTTTGCTACTGTTATGAATTCTAATGTAAATATCTAATATGCAGGATATCTGATATGTGTTTTTTTTTTTTGTTGGTTGTGACCCACAGGTTGAGAACCACTGGTGCAATGCATGCTGGTTACTCTCATTTCTCATCCTTTATTTCCCTCCCACTCCTGTCATCTGTTCTCCCCCAAATCCCCTCCCCATATCCATGTCCTTCTTGTTCATTTTGTGACCCACTGATTTTAGCTAGCACCATCTGTTTGACCACAGGTTTGGAACTGCCAATTCGCCTGTGGTGGGTTCGTTAGTGTACACACAACTGAAAATAGTTACATCTCTTGCCCAGAACCCATCAGAAACCAAAAGTTCAGCAAGGAGGGGTGGGGCTCTCTGAGTCCCTGCCCAATCTATGATTGGCAGTTGACAGCCCCAGTCTTGGTCAGGCCCTGCACAGGCCGACACCTGCAGCTGATGTGAGATATGTTTGCAGTGACTGTATCATGTTACAGCCCTTCTTTCTGCTTTCCAGCCCTTACTTTCTTTCGGTTCCCTCTGTGACATCCCTGCCCCTTAGAGGGAGCAGTACAAATGTCCCATTTAGGGCTGATCATCATCTCCATCACCCATCCTCACCATCTTGAGCAGTCGTGACTCTGTGTTGACTACCTTTCACTGCAAAGAGAAGCTTTCCCGATTAAATAGCATTTGTCTATGGTTAGAAGCATAAATATTTAGAATGTCGTTTGTCACCATGACAACTAGGCTAAGCAACAGTAATAAGTTCCCCTCTGGGGCCTATGCCTCCCCAGCCATGGATTTTTAAAATGAGAAACAAAAGAGACCCCCCCCCAAAAAAACCTAAAACAGCTCATTTTCAAGTGCACCCATCAAAAGGCAGAAGAAAGAGGCATCAAACGTGGATTGCCTGACATGTCTATTAACAGGACAAGCAAAGAATTCTAGGTTTGAAAACTAGATATGTGTGTGTATATATATATATATATATATATATATATATATATATATATATATATCACCTAGATGCTGGGGCTCAATTTCTGCTATTGAGGAAATTTACAGAAGGACAAAATAGGGGGATTGGCATGCTCTAATACTTTTCGTTATTGCTTAACTAAATTCGTGAAGCACATCAAAGGAAAATCAGCCAAGAAACCCAATCCTTCCTACCTTTTGTTGTTGATCTCTTTTCTAATGACTCAAAGTTAACCGTGACATTGAGCCATCAAGAAGACGAGCATCACAGTATCTCTGGACACTGGGAAAGAAGTATCAAAATAGCATCAGATATGCTGTTGACTGATAATAATTGGTTCACAGCCTTCTGCTTTTAGATGCTTTAAGGCTCGTTTCATTCTGTCAAGGATTGGTTTATTAATTGCTTAAAGTATTTACTGCAGGAACTTGGCCCAGTGTCTGAGCATCTTAGGCATGTCTAATTTGATAGCATTTTCTGTGTTAGAGGACAACTAATAACTTTTGAAAGCCCCTGTATTTCAGGCTCTGTTTTATTTGTTTCATATTTGTCACATAGCTATTACAGCCCTGTGGATTAAGTATTACTGCATTCCCAATTGTACGTGATATAAAATCTCAAGGAGGTTACCCTTCTTGGCTAAAGATACTGAGCTAATGAGATGTGCAGCCACAGTGCAAACTGAGAGACTTGACTTCAGGCTCAAAGTCTCTACTTACTTACTACAGTATTTCAGGGCCCCAAAATGAGCCTCATTATGACCAACCATCATGCAAGTGTTCAACTTGGGAGCCCAGGCACTGGTGGCAAACATCCCAACACCAGTAATTTTGTTCTTAAAGATATAAGTGGACTGATGTGACAATTCATTCTTTTGTCAAAAAAGAAATCAGAACTATGGAGGTATCGGTCCTTAAAGAGCGTACAGTGCAAGCATGTTGCTTTGAGGTCACTCCCCAGAGCAAGTGTGCTGCTGCGTGATTCTAATCCCAATTCTGGGGAGACAGAGATATACAAATTTATAGAACTTGCTACCACCCTACCCTAATAGGTAAGCTCTAGGTCCAATCAGAGATCCTGTTTCAACAAAACATAAGGCAGATAGTTCCTGAGAAGAAGCAATACTCAGGTTGTCCTCTGGCCTCAACACACAGACACACCCACAAAAGTCAGATCACATGCACATATGCTAACACACATATGGAGAAAACATAGGTTGCCAGTGTTTGGGTGATGGAGTATGTCAGGGTTCACTTTATAGGTGGTTAGGAAAAGATTGCATATCCTGCGTGTGCCATCATTGAACTGTCTCTCCATCTCCTTCCAATGTCTGGGGAAAGGACACATCCAGTGGTCAATAACAACTGTTGCCTTTTCCTAAAACTAACTTTCGTAGTAAATGGTTTAAGCAAAGGGCTAAAGATGGACAGTGCTCAGAAACTGATTGCTGGGGCTTCTTCCCAGGAAGGTGACATTCTAGACATGAATGACTTGGAATAATAGACCAGTTTTGAAGGGCAGTCACACTTCCTGGTCACCAGGCTGGAAACACTGACTTTAGGGGTTTAGGAAGTTTCAGAAGTTAGCCTCTAGGGCCTATTGAGTAAACCCCGACACAATAATATGGAACTTTTGTAGCTTTTTATGGATGTCATTGATTTTTTTTCTTAATCTTGTTCCCCTAATCCCTATGCATTTCATCTCAGGATCTTCATTCTTTGTCTTCCTTGAGTGGGTTCTCTTAGTGTAACAACTTCCTATATTTGACAGTAACCATGGGGGATGTAAGCATGTGCATTCTTGGGTATGTATGTGTATCACATGTCTAAGTCAATGCAGTGATCATACTCATTGAGACATTGATTCTATGTGCTATTACAGCTGTCATTTCCCATCATGTGTCTGCCTGCTCTAAATGATTTTCCAAATAAGTACCATCTTTGCAATGACACTTAAATAAAAGGTTTTAGCCAAAATATTACATCTTTTTAAAATTTATGTGGCTAAAATTGTGTCAGTCTTTCATAGCACTGAATTCCTTCCTCTTAGATGCAATCCTGTCAAATTACATAATGACTACTGGTAACTGAGGCTCTCTCAAATCAACACTGCCATCCATCTAAACCTGGAGCCTGGAACACTCTAAGGAACAGGGAAGAACCCTCACACGATTTATCCCATCATTTTTTCCTAATATAATATTATTGAAGGCAGTTTTGGGTAGAAATGACTTAAATGAGAATCTTGCATGTTACAATTTCCCCTTTAAGCAATTCTCTTATCTTTCCTGCAAAAGTAGTGGAAGTTGGGGGATAATTTGTCTGCTATAAAATAGAGCACTTGGAATCTCTCGGTGATTTACAACTCCCCATGCAAGGCAGGTAGCAGCCGCTTAGCTCAGATGTACAGAGCATGAAAATCTACTGTTCCTCTGCGTATTTAATTTAAACACTCAGAGAATGGGATGTACCTACAGCATTCTTATTACTTGGTTCAGATGTGTTTTAGAATGCATCATAAATGTTTCATAAAGTGCCACCCTGGTAGAGGGGAAATATTTAAGTTTGGAAATTTTAAGAGTGAAATGGATCCACTTATTAAAGTGTAATAAATTTGAAAGTGCTTAGTTTTAAATTCTACCTCATATATTCTATTCATATATTCTATTCTTCAAAGGAAAACCACTTTCTCCTATGCCGTTTTCTGCTTCAAAGTGGCTTCTCTCCTGCCAAGAGATTCTTGGGGGTTAAACTATCCTAACTTGTCTCGATGAAGTCTGAGATCCAGTCTGATTATTTTGATTTCGAAGAGTGCAGTTTGTAGGTGACTGCTCAATTGGTCACATGCTTGCTATGAAGCATGAGGAACCAACCTCAGATCCCCAGCATGCATGGAGTTAGAAGCCAGGTGAAGTGGTGCACAACTCTAAGCCCTTCACTATGGAGGCAGAGACAAGAGGATCACTGGGGCTTGCTGTTCAACTGGTAGAACCACGGTGCATCGAGTACAGTGAAAGACCCTTTGTCAATGAATAAGATGGGGAGCAACTGAGGGAAATACCCAAAGGGACCCCTTTCCCCAAGCCTCATGAACACACACACATACACATACACATATACTCTTATTTTTTTCAAATGTAGGGCCTCACCCATTTTAGCCAAGTGCTCTACCAACCAAGATATATTTCCAGCCCAAGATTCTATTATTCTAAATAATTCAAGGTAGCATGTAGTTGTTGAAAGCTAATTTCGTGTCTAATAATTATTTATCCTGGATCTTTCTTTCTTTCTTTCTTTCTTTCTTTCTTTCTTTCTTTCTTTCTTTCTTTCTTTTTATGTTCAAGCCACCTTCCCTTAGGTTAATACCTTTGGTACCGTTTCACACAGGAGACTCCAGTGTTAACTTGAGTAAAATTCTTTTTTAACCCGTTCCTCTTTTGGCTCATCTCGCCCCTCTCTTCCTTTCTGCTCTAGTCTTCAAGTCAGGAAAAATATGTAAGGAAGCTGTCTCCACTTGATTTGCATTTTAGAGGCTAAAAGAAATTTTACAAACCATGATAAAAAATAATGTCTACTTGTAACCTATTTTATGCAGTAAGAAGCTGAGTTGGTTTATTTTATAACCACCCAATATATCAGAACAGAACTGTCCACTCTGTCTGGGATAAGTACCTATCAGCCCTAAGTCTATTCAGTCTATGCCTACCAATCCTTCAAGGCCAACTCCAACACGTCTTCCATGAAAACTCTCCTTCATATAAATTTCCAAGGCGTAGTGTTAATATCACCTGCACAGGATTGTTCATAACCCCTCTGCTCTGTGGATTTCCAGTTTGTTTTGAAGCAGTAAAATGGAGGCTGGAGTAGTTACTAGGACATCCCAGCTTGCAGTTTCAAGTGTGTCACAAATTATGTGGGTGGCTTTTTACAAGCTTTTATACTGTCTGCCGAGTCTGTAGACATGGCAGGAAGTCTCATTAGGGAGCTGAGAATAAGGGTTATATAGCATCCAGAGTTACAAGCCAGGGAGGATAGAGTCCTACTGCAGAGCCATCTAAAAAGACTGATTTCAAAACTGCTTTTGTTATTAGACCAGACCAGACATCAACACTGAAAGAATTTGTATAAGACTGTTCTATAATGTAGTATGTAACAGAACAGAAACCACTCAGTAGAACTTAAATGATAACGGGAATTGGGGATACGGTACCTTACACATACCTTTGACCATAAAGCTGTTCTGTCTTCGAATATCTTAGATATGCTTTGTGGCATCCTGGGTTTTCACACCCAAGCCTTGCCACCATGTCCAATGATAATGGAAAAATAAGAAACACTGCCAAACATTTATAAAACCTCTCCGTGAGCCAGACTCTTTAGCTGACAGACTTCGAAGGAAACTTGCCTCACCTAAATTCTTAGAGTTGTGCAAATCTGAAAATCTCTTAAGAGGGTCATGATGGCTGCAGTGCCCACAGTAGAAAGACACTAAAAGGTCAGGAGTCATGGAAAAATGAGTACAGGACTTAGAGCAGTGATTAGCCATGTGCTGACATGAAGAAGGATGCAGTATGCCATACAAAGGCTACCAGAGTGGGGCTTAAAGCCTCGTCGTCAGGCCCTCAGCCCTCCTTGCCTTCCTTTTCTCTTTCAACACAACAAATTATCATCAATTTAGTGCCATAAAGAAATCCTATAATTATACGTCAGAAGTTCAAACTTGGCATAGCTGTGTTCTCTGGTCCGGATCTCACTAACTAAGCCACGAGTGAGACTGGCTAGGGAAATATTCTTATTGCAGCTCAGAGTCCATGCTTGTCCAAGTTGCTGCTACAACTCAGTTCCTTATCTTGTGGAACGCTGGTCCCCGCTCCATATGATGGCCGTAGACCACAGGTTAGTTTGAGCTCCATATGATGGCCGTAGACCACAGGTTAGTTTGAGCTCCTAGTTACACATATCTCCTTCACAGGCAGTTAACTCTCAGCGTGGTCATTGCCGTCTTCCTCCAAATCTGGGGGTGCATCTCAGTGTATTTGCCTATCTTACACAAGGCCCTGAATTCAATACCTAGTACAGGCAAAAGAGTGGTGGGAAAGGAGGGAGAGAGACATAGAGACAGAGGAGAGACAGACAGACAGACAGACAGACAGACAGACAGAATACATTCCAAAAGACTTATCCTTTTCTCCTTTTCAAGGCTACCTAGTTAAGTTTGACCCACAGGGGAAAAGGAGAATAATTAAATCAAAGCTATCTGATTAGGTACTTTAATTATGTCAGCCGTATCTCTTTCATTTTATGGCATATAATAATCATGGGCCTCATTCCACCAGATATTTGTGACTTCTTCAGATTCCCTTAGTCCACATGAGCCCATCAGCTACTGCTGCAACCTGACAGATACTGTCCTTGTGACTTTATTCTGAATGTGGTGACCCAACAGTTGTGTTGCACTAACATAGCAAATCCGGACTGGACAGCTGTCCATTAGAAGCAGGTGGGCAGAAGGCACGCAGGGAAGCTTCCAGCCAGCACACGGTACACAGCTCACGGAAGTGTGGTCTCTGGCAGAATCTGTCTCACTGAGGGAACTTAAATCAAAACCAAGATTTATCACAGTGCCACACAGCTTCAGGACTGGGAATAGAACAAACTTCTGTAGCATTAACATGCAGTCTCCCCTTACAGCTTCCCCGTCTGCTGCTTTGATCAGCCCATTCATCTTTGGCCTCAATGAATATCAGAGGGTCATTCCTCATACTGAACCCAAATCTGTCACCAGGTGGCTTCTTCATAGTAATCCTCATCTATCTCCGGGAGCCCTGAAAAATAAAACAAAATAAAATAAAATAAGAAACACTCAATTCTGCCTTTACCAGGCAAGGCAGTATACTAGGATTTGGTGGCTTATGATATCCCTGTGGAAGAGGTTCTGTAAATCTTTAGGACATGACAGATGGGCCACTAAAGAGGGTCCTTACTATTTTGAAAACTAAGGAAGCTGTCAGTGTGTTTTATGTATGCATTTTGAGCACGTGTCTTAACACAGATTTTCAAAAACAATAATAAAAAAAAAATGTCAGCAGTGTTTTCCTTTGCATCTGACCATGCATCGTTTATCTTGTTTGTAGAGTGAACGAGAAACCATCACTTTCTTCGCACAAGAGGACAGTACCTTCCCTGCACAGACTGGCCCGAAAGCCTTCAAAATTCCCTATTCCATCCGACAGAGGATCTGTGCTACGTTTGATACCCCCAATGCCAAAGGCAAGGACTGGCAGATGTTAGCACAGAAAAACAGCATCAATAGGTAATTGGGGGCACCTTTTGAAAATGCTTTGACTTAGCAAACCCTGAGAAATAAAGTGAACCGGGGTAGCCACGTGGGATGGTGATCTTGCTGGATTCTCTCGTCCACTTTTGGATGGAGTTCAACTCTGGTATCAATGTGTCAAGTGTCTATTGCCATCTCACTCTGCCTCAGAGCACATTACCAAAAAGTCCTACATTGGTTTTGGCCCTGTGTCCAGGTTTGTAATTTGGGTTATTAAGCCAGAAGCTTACACTATATTATCCTGGTAAGTGGAGAGGAGAGGAGAGGAGAGGAGAGGAGAGGAGAGGAGAGGAGAGGAGAGGAGAGGAGAGGAGAGGAGAGGAGAAGATACTTCCTCAGATGAATAGCTTACACTGGTACATAAACCCATGGCAGCAAATATCTTGCATGTCCTCTGCCCATCAGGAAATGGTATGCACTGCTTAGCCCCTAATGCGCGCATACTCAGTCTGCAAAAGTGGGTACCTGCATACAAGTTAGAAGGCATTTTAGGACAACGTTTAGATCTGCCACTAAGTGTACAAAAGTTATCTTCACACCACCACCTAAACAATGTGCTCCTTACTGTGTGGGTCAGTTGCTATCCTGTCCTAGAGTCGACTAGAACAGAGAACCCCTCATAAGCTCCATTACCTCAGAGGAGCAGAGGCACGGGTGAGCTCCACAGAGCAACACCCATGGGTGGTAGAAGCCGGGATTATGCTAGGTTTGGTATGGTTCGTGTGGATAAGGCCTTGGCAAATCAAAACTTCATTTCATAATTCCCATTCACCCCAAAGTAGCTGATAAGAGTGGGCTCTACCAGCATTATTTTTATTTTCCTTGCCTTTGGTAATATTGCTTTGCTTTGTTGTGTTTTTGTTTTCAGGAAAAAAAAAAACACTTATCTTCTTAATGCTTGGCTTACTCTTGCCTTCTCACTTTTTCTCCCTATTTTTACAGGCATTATGCCAGACTCTTTTTCAGTCTGAAAGGGGGGAGGTATGTGTCTGCCAAGAAAAGATGGAATACGACTCTTTGTCTCAGAATGGATGCAGAATCCACAAATGAAGGATCCAACCAGAAGTCAGGAGGAGGCACTGTTGCCAGAGAAAAATGAATTTACAGAGAATAGGCAGCTCCCAAGAGAATAGATACCTCTTTGAAAAGGCAAAGGCTTATACTGAAAATGGAAGCATTGAAAAATATGAATATGCAGGAAAGACAATAACTTAGAGAGTTTTCAAACTTAGCGAGTTTGACAGAGGAGAGAATTCTTGGTTTGTCATCTGTGAAAACAAGTGTGTTAAGTTCACGTTCTGACCAACGTGGACACAGAATGATAAATGAATCCAGAAAATGAATTTTGTTGCGGGATGGGGTGGAAAAGAAGGAGGGAAGGAGAGGAAAAGAAATGGGAGGGAAGGGAAAGGGGAGAGAAGAGGAGAGAAGAGGAGAGGAGAGGAGAGGAGAGGAGAGGAGAGGAGAGGAGAGGAGAGGAGAGGAGAGGAGAGGAGAGGAGAGGAGAGGAGAGGAGGATGCTTCCTCAGCAGGGACACAAGTTTGCCCAGCAACCCAGGTGCTTCAGCTCGTTCCAGTCTATGTAAACATGTTACTTACATCCTAGAGTTTTTCCTTCTAGTCATAGCCCATATAGAATAGACAGTATAGTAAATCTCTATTCTAGTTATGAAAGCTATGATTTTTAAATTGTCATTTAGCAAACAGATACTTTCCCTGCCACACAGTGCACAGACACTCCTGCGTACTCCATTGATTTACAGAGTGAGCATGGGGGAGCTCCAGCTCTGTTCTTTTGACTCTCCATTTACAGTAGACATAAGACCTAGAGTATGCGGCTCCAAAGTCACATATTTCTGACCTCACACTGTAGGGAAACTGCAAATCAAGCAGGGGACTCCATTTAGCATCTTTTATGTCCCGACACTAATGAACATCAATTGTCCATTCTGGAGCTAGCTCCCCTTCTAGTGTCTAGGGTCTTGAGCCTGTTGACTTGCTACTTGCTTATTTTCCCCTAACACCTCTTCTCGGGGACAGCCTACGCTCCCTTGACATAAGTAATTCAAATGCCTATTGTGTTGAAATTTTTCCAGCATAGTGCCCAGAACACTTTCAACAAATGTTACTTGTTCACCTTGACATTGCTGCGATGAATGCCAAATTAAAATAGCGCGGATGTGTATAATCTACTTCTCTCTTGAAATCTTATACAGATAACATATTCAGTTCAGCAGGCAGCATTTCCTCCCTTGCTCTTTGTTCTCCAGCTTTGATCTTCAAAAGCTGTGAAGTGAATGATTTCAGCTGGGGTCAGCACACTTTCTGTAAAGGGCCAGATAGGAATTAGTCAGGCCGTGTAGGATCTGCTGCCAACAACTCAACAACTGCTCAAGCTCCTAGGAGAAAGTAATCTTTCAATTAAGAGACCAACAAAGTAAATTACTTTTAAAGCATGGTTTAAAAAAATCTTATACCTTATTAATCACTAAAAATTGTTGAAATGCTTTTTAAAGAAAATTTATATCATAATACACTAAACTTGGGCCCAAAGAGTTGGTTTGGTTGGTGAAGTACCTCCCATACAAGTGTGAAGACCAGGGTTTGATTCCCAGCACATACATGTGAGCCCCAGGCCCCTGAGAGACTCTGTCTCAAAAACAAAGTGGACAGCTGCTAAGGAACAACACTCCAAGTTGTCCACTGGCTTCAACACATATGTGCATACACTTACATGCATATCCGTATACACACACATGAGTTAGGAATTAGTTAGGCCATGTAGAATCTGTTGCCAACAAGTGAACAACTGCTCAGCTTCCTGTCTCTGCAATGTGAACCTGCCAGGAAAGAACAATGCCCACCTCGAGCAGGCCTGACTGTTCTGGTGACCTGTGGTTACAAAAGCAGGCAGCGCTCTGTATTTCTTTCAGTCTGCCATCCCCAGAGCTCGGACTTAGCTGTAGTCCATCCTCATTGAATAAAGCTTCCTTAGGACTTTGTTGCTCTCGTCAGGATATTACCAGGAACTGAGGGTTCTCTTTCAGCTCTACGTTCAGCCTCCTTCAAGGTGGAGAATGCTGTTGAGCCTAAGGCTGACATGCATGCTAAAATATCTGGAGGAGCAGAATAAGAAGAGGTGCTTACAGCCACCTGGTATCTGTTGGCTCAACTCAATCTCACTTTGAAGAAATGCCCAAGTTCCTTTTTTATCTTCACGTGGAGTACTACATTAATTACTGTTCTATTGCACTATAAAGAGACACCAGATCCAAGGCAACTGTCAAAAGAAAGCATTTAGTTAGGGTTTCACATAGTTCCAGAGGGTTAGTCCATCATCATCCTGGCACAGAGCATGGCAGCAGGTAGGCATACACGGTGTTGCAGCAGGAGTTGAGAACTCGTATCTGATCTGGAAGTTGTAGACAGAGAGCGAGTCTGGGTCTAGAGTGTGCTTTCGAAATGTGCTTTGAAGCCCATCCCTCAGTCATACACCTCCTCCAGCAATGCCACACCCACTCCAATAAGATCATTCTTCCCAATCCTTCTCAAACAATTCTACAAAACGGGGACCTAGAATTTAAACATATGAGCCTATCGGGGCCATTCTCAATGAGATCACCCCTAGTACCGGAGATATGTATCATCCTTCTCTCAAAGAAGCATGTATAACAGAGGTGGAATAAAATCCTCCTCCATTTCCTATTATGCAATACCAGATTATGATTTAACTCTCATGATTAGGAATTACATAGTATACATTTTATTAATCAGGAATACAGTAAATGTATAATTGCCAATATACAGGTACAGCACTCCAGAGGCAGAGACAGGTAGATCTCTGTGAGTTTAAGGCCAGCCTGGTCTACAAAGAGCTAGTTCCAGGACAGAAGTAAATAGAAACTCTGTCTTGATAAAACAAAAAATAACAAAGACAAAAATAAAAAGAATACTATTTCAGAGGCCTAGAATTCCATCAGCTCTGGAGTCAGGAAAGAAAGATAGCATAGAGGTGCACACCTGCTTTCTACTCAGAGAATCGACTCGCTTTAATCACATAATAAACTTTTCCTGACTTTCCTCCTTCTTCCACCTTCTCAAAAGCATTGAACAGATATCAGTAACAGCCATCAAATCCCAAAGAAAGGATTTCCAAGAGAAATGAGGAGAATATTTGCTCTATTTTTTTCTGACAGTCCTAAAATCTTTACTCTTCTTTGGCAAATGTAAATGCCAGAGTCCCTTATGATGATTTGCCTTTACACACACATACACACACACACACACATACACACACACTCACACAAACACACACATTCACACAAAAACACACTCACACACAGTCTCTCTCTCACACAATATATATGAACAATGGGCAGTCTTGCAACTAGCCTGCTATATAGATCACATTGAAAACACTGCAGAGCCCAGTGAAGATGCCAGGGATGACGGTTGCAGTTACGGATGCTGTGAACAGGCCTGACTCTAACTCAGCACCCATACTAAACATACAAGGTTACATGCTTAGCCTGTAATTTCAGCTGCAGTAACTATGTATTGCTCTGACCCTATGTGATTAGTAGAAGATGGTGGAGAACATTGCTGAGGACTAATTCAATACCTGCTTCTGGGATTGGAGAAATGCTTCAGTGATTAAGAGCATTTGCTGTTCTTGCAGAGAACCCGGATTCAGTTTCCAGCACCCACAGAGTGGCTCACAACTGGCTGTAACTCCTTTCCTAAGAGATCGAATGTCCCTCCTTCATGGGCACCAGGCAGGCACATACCCAGATACATATACAGAAAAATATTCATACACATAAAAATAAATGAATATTCCTAAAATACCTGCTTCAGTCAGCAGTATCCCATCATATCTAAACTGACATATTACTTTACATTTTTATGATGCTTATTTCTAAATTACATTTAACATGTATAGATAAGACTGTCAGCCTAGGAGAAATTCGATAACT